TGTGCTTTGTATGGAGCCAGACTTCAAATAGCTCATGCAACCTTACGCAACAAGAATGAAATAGGAGACATCACTTATCAGACTTCAAGCTGTACCAGAAGGCTATAGTACCCATGGTACATAGTACTGGCGCAAAAACAGAGGCAGATTATGGATCAGTTCAGAGAACCCAGAGATAAGGCCAGCCTCATGTTGCCATTTGATCTTTAGCAAATCAAACAAAATCATGCAATGGGGAAAAGAATCCCTATTCAATAAATAATTGGGAAAACTAGGCAGCCACATGGAGAAGGCTGAAACAGTATCTTCACTTCTCACGATGCACAAAAATTAACTCACAAGGAATAACAGACTTAAACCTACATCGTGAAATGATAAGAATTCTAGAAGAATATATTGGGAAAACTCTTACAGATATCATCCCAGGCAAAGAATTCATGAAGAAGACTCCAAAGGCAATCGGAGCAATAGTAAAGATTAACCAGTGGGACTTGATTAAATTAAAAAGCTTCTGCAGAGCCAAAGGAACAATTAATAGAGCAAACAGACAGCCTGCATTGCAGGACGGGGAAAATATTTTCATGTTGTACATCTGATAAAGGACTGATAACAAGAATCTCTGGAGAACCCAAACAAATCAACAAGAAAAAATTAAAGAACCCCATTCAGAAGTGGGCAAAATGTATGAATGAAGATTTTCAGACGAAGATAGACTAATGGCCAGCAAACACATGGAAAAATGCTCAGCGTCTCTTATCATCAGGGAAAAGCAAAGAAAACCCACAATGAGATGTGACCTAACTCCAGTGAGAATGGCATTTATCAAAATGTCCCCAAACAACAGATGCTAGTGTGGATGCTGAGAGAAAGGGACAATGATACACTGTTTGTGGGACAGCACATTAATGCGATCTCTTTGACAGTGGTGTCCCAATACCTCAAAGAGCTGAAAGTAGACCTGCCATTTGACCCGGCAATCTCACTACTGGGGATTCACCCAAAGGAGAAAAGTCATTTATAAAAAAGACTCTTGCACTTGATAGTTTATTGCAACATGATTCACAACCACAGAGATGTGGCATAACCCAGGTGGCCATATTTCAATATAGGAGTATTGATATTCAATACAGGAGATTAATAAAATATGTTATGTGTTGACCATGGAGTACTATGCAGCCATGAAAAACAGCAAACTAATACCTTTTGTAACAACCTGGTTGGAACTGGAGACCACTCTTCTAAGTGAAGTATTGCAAGATTAGATAAGCAAACACCACATGTACTCACCACTAAGCTAAACTCATCATTCCACACTCCTGAGCACACTTGGAAGTGAAACTCAGCAGACACCAAGCAGGTGCGGGTGGAGGGGATGGGTAAATTCACACTGCAATGGTTCAAGGCACACTATCTGAGTACACGTATAACTTTGACTCAAACTGAAAAAAAGCAAGTCATGTAACCAAAAGGTTTGTTCCGCTGTAATATTCTGAAATTAAAAAAAAAAATGAGAAAAGAAAAGATAATCTTAGGCATTTTTTCAACTTCAGCAAAATTAAAAACCGCCTTGTATGTTACATAGTAACAATGCTTAGAAGTTCAGAGGTTAGGAATTTCAATGAAATTCAATGTAACTGCTGTGACAAATTATGACTTGATGTTGAGAATACTTGATTCTCCTACAAAGCCTAGCAGCAGACACAATCCTGAGAATCTGTTTTTGGGTGTCAACTCTCAGTGACACTTGGTAAGAGAGAATTCTGAGGAGCTTCCCAATGTGCTAACTTAGCAGCCTACACGCTCATTCCCCTGTTGCTGAACCTTTCAAAAAGCACGCACTGTTTCTGTCTCTAGAGGCAACATGGATAACTAGGGTAGTTACTACTGAGTTTTAATAATAAAAATTATGTCTACTTTTTTTTTTGTACGTAAACTATGCGCTAAGCATGGTGCAAAGTGTTTTTACAGCCATCCAGAGCCTATCACAGAAATATGGTAGACAATGAATGCTTGATGAACAAGAATCTTGTTTAGTTTCCTGCTAAACAACCAGACCTTGGAAACCCTACATAATTCTGCATGGCAGGTCCAATTTTTAAACCCATTGGATAGATGATGATACTATTGACACTGCCATTTACTGAGTTCCTGCTAGGTATGTAATATCATTAAATATTCACCATATGCATTTAATTTATGAGAAAATAAAATAACTTTCCAAAAGTCAGCCAATTCGAGGCCAGTTAGTCTCCACTGAGACTCAGAAAGAATCTTATTGCTACTCTGTTTTTATCTACTACCGGTGTAAAGATAGTCATTGGGAAAATAAGTGGGTATCTTTTCCTTTTAACAGGAAATGATATCCACATGTTATTTTGTTGTATAATTGGTAAAGTCCAATTTTTGCGATATTTTAACATTGCTAATCATTGCTCTTCTTCGTTTAGGTTTGAACCCATTTCTCTTGCTAGTGCAGATATTTAAAAACCTGGTTCTTCAATTTTCCCTTAATTTTATTTATTTTTTGCGTAAAAGTATGCTAAGCTTGGTTCTTCCATCCTACCATGATTTCCAAAGTCTTAGTTGACGACAAGGATTACCTGGGGCTCTTATCTACAACAGTGATTTGATCTGCCTCAATAAATGAGACAGAGCTCATTTATTGAAATTAGCCATTCACTGTGGGACCTCAAGGTCACACACAACGTGCTCACCAGACGCTTGTTGAGTGAATAAGTGTAGGCTTCCCTTATCAATCTTTGCAAAGTAATTTGTGAAGTTGTAGAGAGGAAAGGCAAAGAAATGATGACTGCTCTCTCCCCAGAATAATCTGGATTCATTCATTAAGACTGTTCACTAGTATAGGAATTTAGTCAACTAATAACCTGTCTAACTGACACGATCTTTCTGCTAATGTTTTTCTATCTTTCTCATCTGAACATTACATAAGATTTGTCAAATACTGACATGAGACGTTGAGTCTGGTAGCATCTGTGATTTGAAAATTTGTGAATATCCTGAGCTTACTTTTTTGATTTTTAAAATGCTTCTGAGTTTTATTAGTAATCAGTTAATCTGCTCCTAGTTTCTTAAATTGACCTTCAGTTGCTTTTTGAAAAACTAACACTTTTATCCCTGTCCCATCTTGTGGCATTCCTCCAGTCCTCCACTTACAAATCTTGGAAGTGTTTCTAATATCCCAACTCAGGAACAGATGTAACGTGAACTCTACTCAGTAGAGTAACTCAGATCTACTAGTTAAGCACTTATTCATTTATGCGTTTAGTTGACTGCCTTTGTTGAGTTCCCTACAGTATGTCAGGCTTTGTGCAAGAAACTCAGGACATGGCAATGAGTGAGACGTGGCCCTCGGACTTTAGGCAGGAATTAAAAAATGAAACAATTATATTATGATAGAGATAAGTGCAGGCTGCCTATGAGGGAGTAGAGAAGAGGCCTTCTGTGTCAGCCTGGAGTTGGAGAAACCTTCCAAGGAGAGCTGATCCTTGGGCTGTGGCTAAATGGATGGGTGGGATTGGTCAGGCAGAGACTTAGCAGAAGGACCTTTTAGGCAGAAACAGAGCACTCGCCAAGCATGCCAGTGGGGTGGGGGTGGGAAGGATGAGGGTGCAAGTGAGGACCAGAATTGAGGGGAATCTTGGCCCTTTTTCTGCAATACTCAATGCAAGATTCCTTAGGCGGTATAGTCATTAAATGATCCTCTATCTGTCCTCTCCTTAAACTTGTCTGGTGGTGGCAATGCTGGGCTCAGGAGGCAACCACCCAGCAGTAGCAATGTAAGATGGGAACTTGTATGGAAGCAATACTGC